TCCACGTCATCTAGTTTTCCCCAACTTGAAGCCCTTCACCAATGTTGGAACTCCCCAAACTGGTGCCCTACAGACAATTGTATTATGGACTGAAATCCAACACATTTGGAAGGCATCAGGTTGTGGAAGAATGCTCAAAGACAAAATTTTATTTAATTCTGAATGAAACTAACAGCTTTTCCTGGAGCCACACCATCTCCAAATTCAGGAACAATTGAAAATTGCCTCCTCTTTCATCAAAGGCATGACTCCATAAGAAAGGATGGGGGGTTGCCTACTTCCCTCTGCATTAAAGAAGCACAAACTCCTTTTGCTTTTTGAATGGATTTAAGAGCTTCCATTAGAATACTATGTGGACACCATGTTGAATTCATTTCTCCAATTCAATAGTCTTTGAGGATCTCTCAGCTCATATAGCTCCAAACCCTCCCATTTAAATGCTGTTTTCCTGCTGTTCATTTAATGCTATCACCCCAGAATGAAAGTGTGGATTACCCGTTCAATGCCTGGTTTTGTTTCATCCTCATTCTTCTGGGCAACTACAGAAGTGCTGGATAAATGTTACATGGAAAAACAGTGAGCAGGTGTTCAGTCTAACTGAGTTCAGAAATGCGATGTGGTTTTGCTAAATATGGCCTGAATTCTAGTGAACTAAACGCTATTTTGTTAAGACTTGGTCAAGACAATCAAGGAGAGAGATGAGATTAGAGTAAGGGTGGTTGCCCCATGACCCCAAGGTAGCTCGTGGCCTAATCTTTAAAATCCCTCTGTAAATTCATTCAGATTTCTGTCAAGAGAATTTTGTACCTCCCCAAAAATCCCAGTGGGTGAAGAGGAAGAGGAGGAGGAGGAAGAAGGGAGATTTTATTATTTATTGGATTTTGAGGCCACCCAACCCCAAAGAGACTCTGGGTGGCTTACATGGTTTGAAAGTATACATAATTTAAAAGGACCATGACTGCCTGGACAAAACCGCCTAACATCCAGAAAAACAGTTGGCAGGGGCTCTTCAAACACCCTAACCCAGTGTTTCTCAACCTCAGTAACTTTAAGATATGTGGACTTCAGCTTTGCTGGCTGGGGAAATTTGGGAGTTGAAGTCCACAAATCTTAAAGTTGCTGAGGCTGAGAAACACTGTCCTACCCAAGGCCTGGGAAACGGAGCCAGGTCTTAGGACAGCTCTAGAAAATTTGAATGGTTGCAAGAATGGCCAAAGAGGGTGGCCCTATCCACCATCAGCACCCAACAGATTATAACATAAGTAATGTGACTTTCAATTTGCACCCTTCAGTCAATTTACTGTATTGCTAGTTACACACAGCATATAATAACTGGAGAAAAATCATTACTGGTATTCTATTTGACTTCTTACATATAATTAATCTGAATAATTCTGCTTTTTTTATAGAGAAATCAAAACAATTGAAGTCTCTTGTTTCACTATTTTACCCAGGAAGTTTATATAAAAGTACTTGTGGCTTATTTGAGAAGTTATAAATGAAAACAGAATTCATTCAAAGCTAACATATCTTCAGCTGATCAAATGGCACAAATAGATAGCCACACATTAAGAGGATTTTTGGCATATTCTGTAATTCAGTTCCCTCACACTTGTGTAGTCTGGAAGATGATAAACATCTTTTACAGTGTTTAGAAAGGTAAGTCTGCCAAGTATGTCTAACAAAAAAATAAGGAGACTTATGGTAAATTTTCATATACTTGTAAAACGGAATTCTTTCTTCTTGTAGAGGAGCTATGGCTGTGTAAATTCATTGTTATTTGAGTATTTGGACAGTTCTGCTCTCTTAGGAAGGCTTAAGGTTCAACTCTTCCTATATTAAAACACAACTGTTTGAAGAATCCAGTATCTGACTAATCTGAATTCCATCTTAATTTAAGCTGTGTAGAAAGGACACCCGTGTGGTATGCATTACATCTGGCTTACTTTTTAATGATAAATTTTATCTTAGCTTTGTTTCGGAGGATCTTTTCCAATCTTGGAATGCCAAAAGTGGATGGGCGACGGAATGGCACTCCCTCAGGAAGGCCTTCAACATAAAAATCTTCAGGATAAGATTCAAAGAGCGCAAAAGGAACTTTCACAGGTTCTGTCAGTCCAAGAGCTTCCCCTAGAATAAGATAACATGTCTATATGATTTGTTTTTCATTTAATAGGTTTTTCTTACCTGTTTGGTAGGTTTGAGCCAAAATGAGTAAACAAGACACATTTCATGAAGCAATTTCAGAATTGTTTCAGCTAAGAGCAGGATAATACAGGTAGTACTCAACTTATGACCATTCATTCAGCCACTGTTTGAAGTTAGGATGGTGCTGAAAGAGGAGATATACGACCAGATCTCGAAGTTGCAGCCGTCCCAGCACCCCCACGGTCATATGATCGCAATCTGGGTGCTTGGCAACCTGTTCGCACTTATGACTAGTTGCCAAGCGCCCCACAATCACATGATTGCTATTTGCACCCTTCCATGACAGCTTCCCCAGAAAGTCAAAAGGGAAGCCAGCAGGGAAGATTGCAAATCGCTGGGGTAAGTCTCCCCCACCCGTGCACCCTCCTTCAGCCTCTCTGCGCTCATGTCAGCCACTTGTGCACCCTCCCTGACCCGTGCAGTGCCTCTCACACACCCTCCCTGACCCACGCAGCACCTCTTGTGCACTCTCCCCAGCCTGCATAGTGCTTCTCATGCACCCTTCCTGACCCCCACATCCCCTCGCTCCCTTCCCCACCGGAGCAGCCATTTACCTACCTGCAGGCCTGGGACTTGCAACTTCCTGCCAGCTTCCACGCTGAGTTTGGTTGTTGGAAGTCGGCAGGAATTTTCCTTACCTAAGAACCATGGGATTCAGCTAACAACAGCAATGGGGACTGCAGGGATTGCTGTCGCTAAGCGATGTGGTCGTGCTTTATGACTGAATCGCTTAGCAATGGAAATTCTGGTCCCAGTTGCTATTGTAAATCGAGGCCTACCTGTAACGCTTTATATGGTTCATCCACCACTAAGTATCTCTATTCCAACATTAAGGTAGGTGGATTGCACAGAACATAGGCAAAATATGTTGTTCTTTAAACTGGAACAATCATTTTGAAAGGAGTCAATTTGTAGCAATAGGCAATGGAATGTTTCTTGGAATCAAAACGTGTTTTTTTTTTAATTTCAGAAAATTAGCTGTGTTAGCCTGTTATGTATGGATTGTAGACCATGGAACTTTATATCACACTAAACTTATGAAGTTTTAAGGTGCTGTAATGCAATCTGTTGTATGTTTCCACATTCATGCAGTTATTCAAATTTTATCCCACTTTTTATTGAATAAAATACTGAGGAAGCTAACAATATCTAAAATACAGAATTTCTTTTTAGAAATTATGGCAGCACTACACCTTTGAAAAAACTGTCCTCTTCAAAATGTCACTTTTTGCCAAGAAAAAGACTCAAAATACCTACAATATGTATTTATAGATTTTCAAGTTAGTCTTAAAAATTGGAAGGCAACAGTACAAATATTATAAATAATTATAATCTGAACATGTTAGTTATTAATTCAAATTTCAGTCCAGCTCTTTGCAGTTGTCTGACGGAAGACAAACAGGTAGTCTTGGATCATGACCATTCATTCAGCAACCATTTGAAGTTATGACGGTGCTGAATGAATGGTAGTTATGACCAGTCCTCAAAGTTCCAGCTATTACAGTGCCTCTGTGGTCACATGATCAAAATTTGGGTGCTTGGCAACCAGCCCATATTTACGATTGGTCACAGCATCTCGCAGTCATGTTCTCCTGCCCTGTGCAAACTGTCTCTGCTTCAATTCCCCCCACCTGCCTATCTCCCCCCCATCTCTGCCTTTCATCGTCTTCTTCCTCCCATTACTGGCCTGCCCAGGGATCCAGGTGCTGGGTGAGGATGAAGCTCCGGGATGCACACAGTGAGCGCAGCAAGGTGGTGGTGCGTTTGCTGAAGGGAGCTTGCTGGGCCCGGCTAGGGAGGAGGCAGTGGGATGGAGCTAGCGGAGGAGACAAAGTGGTGGTGTGGGTAGAGGAGCCCATCTTCCACTGTCAGCGCAAGGAGCAATAGCTCACAGACCATGGAGAGTACAGTGGGACAGGTTGGAGAGGTGGTAGCAGTGGTTCTCCAGGCAAAGGTGGTGGCTGTGCGGGAGGTGCTGTTCATGGTGGAGGTGGAATAGGTGGGTGGGGGGAATTGAAGCAGAGGCAGTTCATGCAGGGCAGGAGAAGCGCCAAGTCCTGGCCTAATGGCCGCAACCGGAACTGCCATAGCCAAGTGGTGTGGTCATATGATATTTTACTTAATGACCGCATTGCTTACCAATGGAAATTCTGGTCCCAATTAGGGTTGTAACCTGAGGACTACCTGTATTCTCTTCTCAAAGAATGTGGAGCCAAAACTGAAGTTGAGTACAGTAGTCCTTGCTTAACAATAGTAATTGGGACCAGAATTTCCATCACTAAGCAATGCAGTCATAAAGCATGAAGTCACATGACTGCACTGCTTAGTGACGTCAATCCCAGCAGTCTCTGTTGCCGTTGTTTAGTGAGAATCAAGGGTCATTAAGCAAGGACCTTAGGTGACCCAGGCTTGCAATTTCCTGCCGGCTTCCAATAAGCTAAGTAAATGGAGAAGCCAGCAGGAAGTTGCAAGTCCCAGTCGCGACAAGCCTTTCCTTAGGCAGCTCGCAAGCAGGCCAGCTAGCAGGTAAGCGCTGCGGAGTGTGCGCAAGAGGATGTTGTGGCCCGGCATGAGCATGGCCATGGATTACTGCAGAGGGTGGGTAGGTGCTACACAGTATGAGATCCCCGGGCTACATTTCAAGACTGAACTATTTTCTATATGTATAATGTTTTGGTCTTTTGCCCTTCTTTTTTTCTGTTCATTTTTGTTTTTTCCTTCTGTTTATTTAAGCAAATAAAATATATTTAAAAAGGAATGTTTTCATGATTAGCAGAGTATTATCTCATGATAGTTCTTATCTACAATGCGAAGTGACACAGCCAAATACAGATTTATTTGATTCTGTGAGAATCAAGCCGCAGAGATATGAGTATGTTAACCACTATGCAGTTAGGCTGGGTGGAATAAGAGACAGGGCATTTTTGATAACAGTAAACTCCCTCCACAGAGAACTTTTAGGAGCTTGCTCAACTTTATTTTCTACATCGTTAAATCCATTTTATTCAGGCAAACATTTGAGAAAATGGGAATTCAATTACATACATAGTTGATGCTTTACTGAAATCAGTTGTTATTTTGCTAACAAAGTTCTCCTCTAAAATGCTAAGCATACATATTTAACAAGATAACAACACTTACCACATTTTTCATTAAAAAGATTTTCAACTTTCTGTTTCAGATCAGTAATCTTGGCATTCCAGGCCTCTGTCAAAATATAATAGAAATTAGTTATTTATATTCAATTGCACTATTCTTTTGTTTCACTGATTACACAATTGGATTTCTTCAGAACCTGTTTACGATGGATTCCAGAACACATAATATGCAATAAAATCACACTGTTTATTAGAATTGTTCCCTTGCTGGTTTAAAACTGTGGCTATAGACCCTGAATGGTCAAACGTTTTTTACTACCAAGAAGCAACCAACATCTATCAACTAAGTTACTGAGTGGCAAAGCAGAATTGACAACTTAACTGAAGATATGTGGAATGTAATTAATGTACAACCTAGTAGATATGTAAATATTCCATCTTCTAATTAACAATTCTAATGAATTCAAGAAGCTTAATGTAACATAAAAGGAAATATCCTCATGAACTTACCAAAAGAAAACTCTCTTCCTCTTGGCTTAAAGCCAGTATTGGATCCATTGGTTTGAGGATTAGTTCTAACATCTGAAGTTGATACCCTATTAGCAGGACCTATATTGAAACATACCAAATACATTCCATTTAATCAGTAACAGAAATAGCTATTAAGTTTCAATTTCATAGTGCATATCCTGAATATACAGGATCAAAAATTTGTTTTTTTCTAAAAATTTAGTCCTGCACAGCACACCTGTCATCTGAGGAGAATGTAAAGGACATATCACAAAAGGCAGTCTACCCTAAACTATTCTCACAGTAGATGCAACTGAAGAATAAGCCATGTATTTAAAAAGGAAAAAAAGCTAGCTGCCTAAATAGTTGCTTTTAAGTCTTCAATGCCTTGATTTATTCATGCAAGCTGGCTGATTACACGATGGGAAAAGATCTGCCCTATTTCTTGCATCTATACCTGCTTTGATTCCTTAACCTCTCAAGGCTTTCTCCAAATATCCAATTCCCCATTTAAAAGTTATTTCATTAATCCATTATCTCAATATACATGGGGGAAATAAAGAGTTATATAGAAAACTCTCTTGATAGGGTAAGATTCAACAAGATTTGGAAACTCCTCTCCAAGAGTGTGTAAAACGTGTCAATCTTCTAGCAGGTTTAGCACATGTATTCTATGAGTTTTGATTCCAGGTTGGAACAAAATCATTTGTTTCAAGCAGTGATATTCAGGGTGTTTGATCGTTGAAATGGGAAGTTTCAAAGTTGAAATGGGTCGTTTCATGTTCTCTGAGGTCATCGCAGAACATCTGTTCCAAGAACTATTTTTTTCAAGGTTTCAACAAAATACTCTAGCCATTTTGAGTTGTGCTCTCAAAGTTCCAAGTGGAAACATTTCCTATATAATCCCAAGGAGGGATATTTGGGGAATATAGGAAAGGAATAAAGGAATAAAATAAAGGAAAATATTTGGGGAATTCCATACCTTCATCTACGGTAACTTCAATCTCTGGAACCTTAGAGTTGCTTACAGGACTTCGTGCAGAGTTTGAGCTGTTGGGACTCTGAGATCCTACAGAGAAGTTAAAGTGTTTATTGTTTTTCTAAATTAAAAGTAATTAGTTTTTGCATGATTTAGGCTACCATATATGAAAATCGTTTAATATCATCAATAAAATCAATGGTACATTTCTGCCAGCATATTTAATAGAGTAGCATGTAGGTGGAGAAACATTCCTCTTCTGGCAGAGCATAAAAGTAAATGGCTTTTTGTCCTTTCTAACAATGAGTTTACCATTAAGAAAAATTGCATTTTATGATGATCTAGACAAGGGGCACACAGGGGGATATAGCAGTGATGTGAATGGAAGCAGAGCATTATTCAGGGGCCTTAAATAAAATAAAATTCATTAAGTCTACTGGAAGAATAAAGAACTAACTTGGTTTTTATTTCTATAATAAAATCCCAGAAATAACATAACACCAAACAGTGGCATTTTGCCACCAAATGTTGATGAAGCAAAACGTTCTTTCCTAAACTAAGCTAAAATTCCCATCTGTTATAGCTATCTAAAAACTGATAAGCTTTTGTATCCATGTTGTTCTTTTCTTGATCACTAAAAAAATATGCTTATTCCAATAGATCTTTCTATTAGAACAAGAGAAAGGGGAACACACTTTGGAATACATTTCTTCCACTCCTTCTATAAGTTACAGGGAGTAGTCCTCATCTAATTAACCAGTATCCCAAATCCACAGAAAGAAGTAATGCTAATCCAAAACCTTAAGTTAAGTAGCCAACTATGTAGGAAAGAGAATACATATGATTCAACAGCCCACAACAGATTTCAGCAGTACTGGTTTCAAAACTATGAAGAATTGTGCAATATATTAAGACAATGAAAGCCTCTTTTCTTTGCGTTTATTTTTAAAATGTGTATATCATCTTTCAACACCAGATTCCCCCATTTTGTAGGTATTATAGCTTCTCAGTCACTTACCTGAAGTATTCACTTTACTAGCCAATTCTGGAGGCAAATATGAGGTAACAAGCTCTGGCCTACAAATTAGACAATTTATTTTTAATAGAGCATTATCACAATCACACAAGTTACGTACGCTGCCTGTCTATGGGGTTACCACAGGGTTTTACGTTATGCCTGGGGAGATTTTGCAATGAAAATGGACTCTACGTGGAAGTGATCTCTTTTGTTAGGATTAAGAAGATAAGCAATTTGTTTGGTCTAGTGGTTAAAGCACCAGGGTAGAAAACAGGAGACTGTGAGTTCTTGTCCTGCCTTAGGCATGAAAGCCGGCTGGGTGACTTTGAGCCAGTCGCTCTTTCTCAGTCCAGCTCACCTCACAGGGTTGTTGTTGTGGGGAAAGGAGGAGGAGGAAGGAGTATTAGGTATGTTCACCACCTTGAGTAATTTATATTAAAAAAATAATAATAAAAGTGGGATAAAAAATCTAAAAAAAAAGGAACTGTTACAGAAATCACTTTGTAAACACCACCTGCCCATTTCTTAATAGCAGAAATGTAGACAATGCCACACCAAACCACATTTTTATATCATTCTGACCCCAGAGCACAAAAGGGAAGCTGGATTATTGAGAATTCTCCTAATTCTAATTGGTGAAAATAGAATCTAGCCATTGATCACCTTGACCCCACTATGACTGCATTATGTCCTGCAATCCTATTCACACATTTGAAATGAAAAACTGGTAATAATCGAAAGGGCTTTTGGCATCTGTTGTGCTGCTGGTAAAGCTTTCTGAAAAACTATTTGCACCTCATTCAACATGCAAGTTTCAATTTCCCAAAATGTCTTAGCCTCAAAGATTCAGCAAACCATTTAAAAATCATATCAATTACTTCTATGGATATGTGTGCTAAAATCACAATGAACTGGACGTCTTATTGCGTTACATAACCTACCAGAGACAGCACAATAAAAATGAAATCCAAAAAATGCTACCAAATGAAAACGCATTAAGCAGTAACTATCCACTTACTTCTTCACAATGAATTTAATTTTTCCACTCCCCCGCACAATTCTTTCCAGGCGTGGGATTCCAAACCACGTTGGGCTTCGAAAGGGGATCCCTTCAGGCAAACCTTCTACATATAGATGCTCAGGATTTGACTCAAAGACAGGATAAGGAACTTTCACTGCTTCACTAAGACCCAGAGCTTGTCCTGTAAACAAGGAGACAAGAACTTAATTTGGATCAAACTCCTGTCATAGAGACGGCATTCAAAAATAACACCCACCCATCCAAGGCATAGATAGTTACTCCATTTTTCTAAGGCTACTTAATAATAAAGTTCTGATTTTGTTTATTATTTTATTGGGCATACTATTCCAAGTTTATAAAATCTTGAAAAATACTACACTTTTTTAGTCAAACGAAAGGGCTTTTAAAAAACTTCGTTGAACCTCTCAGTAAAAAATATTTTGCAGCCACCTCTTAAAGCAGGCATGAGAATTCCAACCTCAAGAGTATCTTTCCAGAGTGTCTTACACAGACATTAATCCAATGTAAGTTTCATATTACCATGGCAAGACAACTCAATCCTGAATGTCCTCCTCTGTTGCCATGACTAATTTCTTTTTCCTTGCCACTGCCTCAGAGATAATAGGGAATCTTATGAAAACATAGTTCTCCAAGTGGATTTCAGCACTTGTAACATCCTGTTTGTGTCTTCCTGAGAAAATACAATACTTGCTGCCTTTTCCCACTTTTTTCATGTGGAAATTAGAGCTCATCAAAACCCTACTGGAATTAATGGTGATCAATATCCAAAGAAAGATGAAGGCAAGGCATCACAATTGCTCTAGAGAAAAAGCAATATCCAATATTTTTATTTACTACATCTGAACTTTGCATTATAAAATAATCCATTAACATTCTCTCACAGATGTTCTAGTATCCTTGGCTTGTATAGTTTTACTCACACTCTTCTCAAAAACAAATAAAGCAATTAGAACATAGTAAGTATGAATACAGTTTGTATTTTATTGTGTCTGTTTTCATGAAGCATCAGTACTAACTAGCAAACAAACAATGTTTCACCTACCAAATTTCAGGTTAAATATCTCCTCGACTTGTTTCCTCAATTTTGTGATTCTGACATTCCAATCTTCTTTAACTGGGATTAAAATAAAATGTCAAAAATATAGATTGCACATTTAGTAATAAGATACAATGATATCTAATAGATCTACATTCTATTTCCAAGTAAGTTTAGTTACAAAAAAGTATGTCAAATAATATCATTTACTGATTGTTATTAGATGTTATTGTCTCACATACAGTCGTGTGAAAAAGAAAGTACACCCTCTTTGAGTTCTATGGTTTTTACGTATCAGGACATAATAAAAATTATCTGGTCCTTAGCAGTTCTCAAAAGTAGGTAAGTACAATCTCAGATGAACAACACATGACATATTACACCATGTCATCATTTATTTTACAAAAAGAAAACCAAAATGGGGAGGCCATGTGTGAAAAACTAAGTAAACCTTATGATTCAATAGCTTGTAGAACCACCTTTAGCAGCAATAACTTGAAGTAATCGTTT